AATTGTATTTTCTCTGTAAAGAAAGACAAATTAAATAAATAGGAAATTCTGTCACATATTTACGTATCATCAAGTGTCCGTATGTTTAAATACGATAAAAATGAATCGACTTCTCTATTTACATGTTTGCTGATATTTTTACAGAAACATGGAAAACTCTCGACTACTTTATCTACAATTATATACTGGAATATTCACATATATCTATTTCAACGAGACAAATGAATGAGAAATTGAGGAAGAAAATTTGCGAAACTATTTTCTAGAAAGAAATACGATACTGTCGATATTTCTACAAAAATATTTTTACAGAAAATCAGGAAATCAACGTTTTTTTTCTTCTTTTTTTTTATTGCAATGTTAGATAAGTCGAGCGTTTCTGTCCCGTGATTTTTTGTCATGAGATAACATATTTATTTTATTATTGTATTGTTATAATTATTTTTTAAGTAATACAACTTTGTTCATTAGAATATTAATATTATTTTTAAAAACATTCAAAATCTCTACTTGAATTGAAAACAATATTTCTTAGTTAAGTCTTGTTAAAATGTTCATGATGTTCAGTTAATACTCCATAAGATTTTAAACTTTTAATGTATTTACTATTTATTATAAATACTGTTATTATTCATTGCTCAATGGTATTATAAAGATGAGTACAAATAGAGTTATTGTTTTACTTACTAAATTATTGACATACGATTAACATTCAAGTGATTATCATTGAATGTTAAGTCGTATCAAATTAATCTAAGCCGTTCTCCCAAAAAAAGCCTTTTCTAATTAATAGACATATAACAATTGTCTAAATTGTCAATTGTCTAAAGCATCACTTCAAATTATAGTAATTTTATATAATTTCAATAATTAAATTTGTATAACATAATTTGTAAGGATATGTGTAATGTAGACCTATTTATAACTTTACATTATTTATAGCGTTAAATATTATGACTAAATTTGTAAATAATTAAAAATAAATAACTACTCAAATTTTCAGTGATAATAATATAATAATAGCAATTAAAAATCGTGATCATCGTTAAGACAAGTAAAATGAAATTAAATTAAAGTATGAAACCTGCACCCAACATTCTTTAATTGTTAATAATACTTATTAATTTTACAATCTATCTTGTTTTAATTTTCTTGTATAAGACTGTGATGAAGGTTATGGAATTGATTTCTTATTTATAAAATTTTTCTCGACACAAATAGAGAATGATGTTCATTTAACTGCTCATACTCCTAATTCAATGAAAACTTCATTTTATAATTGTACAGGCAATATACCACATGTCGTAACATCTCGGGAAAGCCGAAGTTTGCAACTATGACAACGACTGCAATCGATGCACTTCGTGATTCACGGATTTGGCCGCTTCGCGGTAAATCATCGGTATCACGGACCCGGAGAATAAACGGTCAATTAATCAATTCGCCCGGGTTACCTGGATCCGATAAAGGAGGTCAATCGTAAGATGGTCGCCTTATCATGAATGTTTTACATCTACGCTTATTAATTTATATATTTTGGCTTGCTGCAATTATCTTTGGTATTGTTAAGACTTCAGGGTGTCAAATTTATGAAATCTTTATTCGTAATAGAAGTTTTTCGGCGACAACACAAAACTTGAGCAAGAGTACTTTAATTAACATTAAAACGCGAAAAATATCAAAAAATTATAGAATTTTTCTATAACAAATCCATATGTGTATATAATTTAATTTAATATTGCAATCAATCTATAGTCTAAGGTCTTGACATACAAGCTAATTTCAATACATAGAGACACGTACTGTGACGCGTGGTTTAATAGACGTATCAATCAAATATGTCAATGCCGACTCTGAAATTTTTTTTTTATTATAATTTATTAGATAATTTTCAATCAAAACATTGTATATTCCAATATACGTTTGCGTAGAAATGGGTGATATGAGTGTGTGCGCGCGCGTACACTCCTTCATCATACATAGGAGCACATAAACACAAAGTAATTATAGAAAAATTTATCCTATAAGAAATGAAAACCTTAGTAATTTTTTTTTAAAACCCTAAAAATTTTTTTTTTTTTTTTTTTTTTTTTTTTTTAATATTTTCACAATATTTCTTTTAAAATTATAACAAATACATATCTAACATTAAGTTTTTACATATTTCACATATAAATAAAGCGTTACCATAAATTTTATGATTTATTCATTATCCGAGCTTAATTTATACATAATATTTCCGATTTAATGAATATGGAAATTTCGACAAGATATAAAATAGATAAACGCAACAATATAACAGCTCATTACTTACACACTTCCGAATTATTAATTTAAAATATTTGATTTATTTAAGCATTCTGATATATAATGTAATACTGAAACGAAATGAAAATATGATTTTTAATTATTCATTAATGATTTAAAGCGAAGTTCACGTTTTATGAATATTTTAAGGAATTATAAAAATTACATTAAAAAAAAAAAATTTTTATCTAATTAATATTAAAGATTGAGCCTGTGAATTAGATAATTAATATGAAAATTAGTCTTTCAAGCATAAAATCGAAAAAAATGATATTTTTTATAAAGCAAAAATATTTGGCATTTTATTATCAATATTAATTTATAAATGTCAGAAATTTCATAAAGTATTACTAACGACAATCTGTCAAATATTATCTGTCGATAATAAATACAATATAAATACTATATATACAATATCAAATATTCTGAAATGAAGAAAAAAATTTTTTTTGTAATTTATTAAACTAATAAATTTATCTATTAATTGTGAACAAAAATTTAAAAAATTAGTTCTTCAATAAAATTTGATTATCTTTCGTGCACTGTTTATCAACAATATTGTAGATAACGACTAACAATCAAAATTCGAATATTATATATTGTATATTAATTTTCTGAATATTGAATTTACTGAATTTTTCGAATATATATGTTTTTTTTTGTTTATTAATTAATTATACAATAAACTGCGGTACTCCTCGGCTGATTGCTTAGAAAAATTTAGATCGATTTATTTGAAATATTAAATAGCTTATAGTAAATTAATTTATATATAAATCTAGACTATTACAGCATTTCTGTGCGATAAATTTGACATAATAAGTGTATGTTTGAACTTTATCAGTAACTGCTTTATTATTAATAAAGATTCATCGATTGTTAAGCAAATAAAAATAGACATTAATAAAATAAAAGGACCGAATGCAGAGAATCCATAATATTGAAAATGTTCTACATTTGACATAAGTACTAATGAAATTCTTTAATAATTTATTCATCTTCACCATTTATTTAATAAAGTATGTACGAAATTTAGCGCTACTTCTTAATTCTAAATCATACTTTTTTAAATAAATAATCATCTATATTACGTTATTACTCTACACCTTTGCTTATATATATATAAATTTATGACAAAAATTATGAATAATTTGATCATCTTGGTTAATAATTAATATAAATTATTAACAAATTTTTATCTATAAAAATTATTACTTAAAAGTAATATGCCTGCAATTATTATAGAAATTTTTCATAATAAAATACGACTAAATCATTATGTCATTGTTATTTTGTAATTTGGTATCAAATTTTTCACTCTTAAATTATCTAATGACCAGCGTCAGATTTAAGAGATTGAATTTAATTACTTTCATAGAGAATAATCTCGACCGTAATACATAGTAAGTAGCAGCAGCAGCAGTTTTATTCAAAAATAAAAGATGCTACTGATTAGCGCGAATTCTTATATATTCAAGCGATTAACTATTTCGGAATATTGGTTTTTACAAATTTTTTTTAAATTTTTTTTTTTTTTTTTTTTTTTTTTTTTTTTTTTTTTTTTTTTTTTTTTTTTTTTTTTTTTTTTTTGAGGCTATAGTTAACTCACAATTACCTATCGAAATAACTTTTAAAACCAAATAAACTCACGAATATATGGTATAACAGTCATTAAATATTAAGAATCTCTAGTATATCGATGCTAAATTTATGCATAAATTTGTTGTCGTTGATTCTAAATTTTTAGGTAACTTTTGAGAAAGATTTTATAGTGTCGCAAACAATATTGGCCATTATGATTCATTATGGTTTTTATGATAACATTGATAACATCCTAACACGCACATACTCTCCATGTTTCTCTTATTATTAAATAATAATAAAATTTTTATATAAAATACATAAGATGCATTGACGTGCGTGCGTGCGCGCATATATCTACCGGAGATGAGATAGTATTGGTTAGAAGAAATAAATCGATTTATATCGTCCTATTTGTCGAATCTCTGCAAAATACCGATGATCGTTGAGATTAATAAATATCATCAATTATAATACTTGTTCCGCACCGTAAAGCAGCTTTGCGTTTTAAGTTTGCAAAATATTCAACGCTTTAATTAAATAAAATTCATAAAATTCTTTAGCCTCTGACTCGCGCGCTTACGCACACAAACACTGTCGCACACCGTATATAGCATGTCACGTCATTACGATAATGCGCGAGCAGATGCGGTATCAAACTTACACAATTAAAGCATCGGCGAGTAAAATAAGGACTGGCAATTTAAGAGGCGCAGCCGGGGTGGGGAAAGGCCGCGCGCGCGTTATAATTCAATACTGCCGTAATTGACGGATCAATTTGGAATTGGAAGCCGCGACGTATGCGCCGAATATATTAAACGAGAGCGACGGGCATAATCGGCCAGGTGGAAATGTTGTTTATCATAGTAGAGATTACTATTAAAATTAGGGGCAATATGCCAAGTCATGCGAGCTCGTTAAATGCAGGGGGGGGGGGGGGGGGGGGGGGGGGGGGGGGGGGGGGAGATGGCGATGGAGATGGAGAGAGACAGAGTCATTCAGAGATTTTGTTTGTTTGTTTGTTTGTTTGTTTGTTTGTTTGTTTGTTTTTTTGTTTGTGCGTGTATGTGTGTGAGTTTGAGAAAAGAGATACTCGATTAGAGAGAACTCACTTGTGGCCCACATGTCGCGGCGCTCGTTCACGTTCCAGCCGCTCTCCTCCACCACCAACTCCACCATCGTTCGCCGGTGTGCCCGAGCTCTCGGCTACGCGTATCTTGATCTCATACGTGGCTCCGGGCTCGTTGCCACTCGGTTACTGCATTGCCTGGCCTCGACGGCGGACTCGCCTCGCTCATGATGGATGACGCTGCCGAGGGCGCCGGGGGCTTGGTCGTTTTTTTTTTTTTTTTTTCTTTTTTTTTTTTTTTTACCGACGCCGCTCTTTATTATGCCCGACTCCTTCCGCACACAGCACAACACTGCCTTGACACTCGGCGGCCCTCGGTATTTACAAACGCCAGCTCCTTTATTTTCATTTCAGTTTAATTCGGGGCCCGCTCACCCGCTCACCCAATTATGCGTCCCCGCGCACTATTTTCGCTCTTTTAGCGGGCGCACAATCGTCGCGCGCCCAAGTAACGCCAACTCGTATGCTTCGATGTTAGTCGGGCACATAATAATCCGCTCTTCCTACTGTTTTGCCTCACTCACACTTGCTCACACGGCTTTAAAACGCTACCAATCTCGTCCCGCCATTGCCCATTCCGATTTACATCTCATCTCACCATCTCACGCGCAAACACACACACACACACACACACACACACACACTCTCTCTCTCTCGCTCCTCTCGCTCCTCACGCTCCTCTAGATCCTCTCGATCCTCTCGATCCTTTCACAATTGCAAGCGCATTGTTAATCGTTGCACCATCGTACATCCATCCAGCAACGGCGACACTTTAATCGACAACATCAGACACGACTGTAATAATTGATCGATGACTACGGTCTCCGGCAAATTATAAGCGCAATCTAAGCCGTGAATGTAAATTATGTTGGTGCGATATTACCGTACCAGGTTAACGACAAATACCTTCGCTATTTTTTTGCTCGTTTTGCCCTCACGCCGCGTGGATTCTCAAAATCCACGGCCCGGCCACTTTCTTATGGATTCTAAACAAGTAGTAATATCGTTGCTTCGTGCCACCATTCACTTTGTGTGCCTGCGCGCGAGAGAAATATTGAGAGAGAGAGAGAGAGAGAGAGAGAGAGAGAGAGAGAGAGAGATCGAACGACACGCTCGTCAAGGCTGGCCGATCTCGCGGACTTAGATTCGCACACTCGCGTCGCGTATTGAGGCGACGGCCGTGGGTGGTCGCCGTAGTTCTTTTGGCTCCCGGCCGCGCAGAAACCGGAAGAGCCGCGCTTCGACGCTCGGGATAGACCAACTCAGGCGGCGTTAACCGTTGCGGGAGCGCTCACCGAGCTCTTATCGCCGACTGTCGCCTGAAGGCGGCATCCCCTCGCAATAGGGACGGAGCGGGCGAGTGCGACTACCGGTAGTGGGGGCAGGGAGGAAAGTAGGGAGCGTGAGGGGGTGGGGGAGAGGAGAAGGAGGCGAGAGCGCGTTATCGCGAGAGCCACCTGTCGCGCGGATCTCCGGTGCGAACCTCGGGACCAAAGGTGAGCGAAGCGCGATGCGTCGAGGTCGGCGCGCGACACGCGAATGCCGGGGCCGAAGCGAGTGCGCGCGACGCCACGACGAGGTGGTCAAAGGTCGTCGTCGCCGATACGCAACATCATCGGACACCTACGTCCCACTCCAGCTTACGCCCCCGCGCTCGCGCCGCCGACGACTTACTCCAACTTTGAGAACCCCTTTGCCATGGCTGCGCTGCGCTGCGCTTCATTTTACGTAAACGACGGCCGTTTACCCCGCGTTATTTGAGCGACTGCGGCCCACTCTGGCCCGACTCGGCTACTCTCCTCCCCCTCGCCCCTCTCGCACAATCACACTCTCGCTCTCTTTCTCTTTCTCCCCTCGTTCCCTCCCTCGCTCACTCTCTCTCCCTCCCTCTCTATTCTACGCGATCTTTCTTTCATTCTCGTCCGACTAAATAACCTCCCGTCTTTTCGCTCAAAGCTCGCTTTGATCACTGCCCGGGCCTTGTAATTTTATTATTATTCATGCTTTACCAAATTTTTCTTCCCATCATTACACCTTTATTACAATCTACTCTCTAGTAACTTTGCCCCCATCAGACTAAATTGAATTACTTATTTAATGGCATTAATTGCGTTTTAAACGTGTATGGTCGAAGCGAATGAAAACAGTTATTTTCTTAAAAAGGAGATTCTCTCTCTCTCTCTCTCTCTCTCTCTCTCTATCTATCTATCTATCTATCTATCTATCTATCTATCTCTCACTCGCTCACTTTGACATTGTTAAATACGGGCGTGAGAAAAACCTTGAAAACAATAATTCGTTAAAAACTCCAAAATACTTATTAAAAGCGTCTCTGAAGTTCGCGATTATGTTGCAGCACAATTGTTGGAGTGTGATGAGTGAATGAAAGCATTCGCCACGTATGTCTCACTCCAAGATCCTAATAACAGAGCTTTTTTTAACTTACGTATGAAGTACCTTATAAACTTTTCATTACGAAATATAATGAAACTTGTAAAGGGAACTTAACCACCGTTATAACTGAAAATATATTGCTTCGTATATTGCTTTAAGAATAATTCTTGCAAAATCCTTGAAAACTAAACCTCAACATTCGTGAAGGATGTTAAGCAAGTTAAACTAGATGGTGTGTTTGTGCATATGCGCGCGCGCGTATATTTGATGATTCGTTATACTTGCACCTTGTTATAGTTAGTTTTAGAGAATTTTGGAAAAATAAATATAAATATGCTTCATTAGTACCTTTAATACTTATCTAATATTGTTAAATTTATGTGGATGGCCCAAAATATAAATAAAATTGCATAAAAATAATTTCAAATACAGTTTTGTAATAGCGTGAGTTTATAATAATGTAATGATATGTTATCATTGAATGTTCTGAGTATATTCTTGAAAATAGTATGGAATTTTTAAAATAACCTAGGCACATTTTAATATCATATTGAAAGGACAAGAAATATAATTAATTAACATACGAATTACCTTCGATACTCTGGCCTATTTTACAATTTCTTAAATAATTGTTGTCACAACATTTGAGATGAATTTAATTAACTTAAAAATAATATAACGATTAAATGAAATTACTAATAATATAAAACTTACTAATCCCTTTACTGGCAAATAATCTTTATTTTTACGCTCTTTTCACTATTTATCAAAGAAATGAATTAATAAAATACTAAACAGTACAACATAATTTTATTATAATGAAAAATATTAATAATTATTTTGTTTATAAATCTAATATGTGCACAATAAACGAATAAACAACAACAACAAAATTACCTACACACACACACACATATATATATTGAAATTTTTTGTTACTTAGAGCACATTTAGGTTTACGAGACATAAAATAGAAGGAACATATATTTTTACCATATTTCATATAATATTTCCATTAATAAAACGTAAAATTCATCAATTATTGCTTTATTAAGAAGTAAAATAAAATAAAACATGATAAATCTTAATCGAAGCACATTAACATATTTAATTAACCATAAATGTATAAAAGTACTGATAAAAGTACTAAAATATTAGCACTTTAACCACAGTTTTATATCGATATCATCGGTAGATAAAACTATAGATACATCTGAAATAAGTCAAATTAAAACTTATTACGTGCACATTATATTATCAATAATTACATCACTTATGTTGTTATAATTTGCCTCAATACCGATTCTATACTACACTTCCTTATTCATAGCTTAAATAATCGATGCTGAATTTAAAGGAAATATTTTTGAAATTCTGGAAAAAATAATTTTTCCAATAAAAATGCTCTCTTAAAATGTAACGAAAGTAGAAATAACTGAACGAAATATTTTAAAACCATAATAGATATATTAAATTATATAAAATATGTATTTCTATATATAGTCTATTTTTGAAAAGTAACTATTTGCAATTAATCGCATAACTTTGATCGTCAGTGTAATTAATCATTGAGCCGTATGGAAAAAAATGGAAAAATAAAAAAAATTGAATAATTTTTTAGCATAGCCAATGTAATTCTATCTAATAATATTAAGTTACACGTCATATTGGATTATGTGCTAGAAAATATCCGGATTAGCAATCCTTTTACCATAAATTGCACATTAATTGTAAGAACTATTTTTCTAGCCCTCTAGTATAATTGCACATTTTCTTCTATCTTATCGTCAAAAAAAAAAAAAAAACTCCACTACCACTAGAGTTTTGATAAAAAAGAAAAAAAAATTAACAATATAAATTGATTAACTATAAAGGCTAGAGTTTACGATGATAGAAAATTACGTGTATGATAGATACTACCCTAAGTGAATTGAAAAAAGTTTTACAAAATACTATTTATTCCCATCAATCACATGATAAATTCATGCAACTATACTCGTACGAGTATCTAAAAAGAAATTGATAATGTGATTAACTCCATCGGCTTCGTCTCTTTATACTTTCGGATTCATTTTTACAAAGTGTCAACGATCATCGAGAGCTACCATCTGGATTCGCAATATACGAATTTCTCCCCGGAGCATTACTTACGCAATGAATTATGAAAATCAACAATACAACGATAATGCCAATATTCGAGAAAATGAATGAGTATACTTGACGTTGTGCTATCACGTGTCATTTGTCCATCTGAATTACACGTACACATTTTTCTGCTGATCTTGTCAGATTAAATTTTCTTCAATTAATCTCGTCTCTGAGAAAATTAATGCATAATATTGGCCATTTACTTTCATTCTCATAATGCACTTGAAATAATGTCTAATTTTGCATAATAGTATCGTAAAAAATAATTTGTGTGGTAAGATTAATCCACGTCACTCAAACAATAATGTGCAGACAATGATGTGCATCTACTTTGTATATAAATTCTTTATATAAAATACCTTAATAAATAAGGCATTCAACGAGTTATAATAATATTTATTAACTAAAATCAATACCTTCTAAAGTTCTCCATTGCTCTCATTTAATCTTTCATACTTATAATTATAGAATAGGAAATAAATAGAACGGAAAACATAGAAAAAATCATTATATCCAAAAATAACTTAAACAAATATTAATAAATAATGACTAACGGATATCATCGGTACAATAATTTTATTCATTGCTCTTCAAATATTTAAATGCCTTTTTTTCCTTTTCCTTTTTTTTTTTTTTTTTTTTTGTTA